ATATATGGTTATGACAGGCATGTTTTCTATTACCATCATGTGAAAAAAAACTTTGGGTCATAGTTCTTGGAAGTTACGAGAGGTAAGAGAAAGAATGGGGTGATAAAGGATGCAACATTCAAGCTCTTGGATGCAATAGCTTATGCAAGACTCTTTAATGAGTTCAATGTTACAATGTCAAATATGATGAATTTCTATCTGGATTTATTTCAATGGCTTGAAACACACGGTGATGTAGATAAATGGGCACTTAACAAGTTTCCCCATAGGAGGTGGGATAACACCACGACCAACATTATTGAGTCCTTCAATTCTTGGGTTGTCAAGGAAAAGAAATATAATATTGCTGTTTTTATATACGAGCATAGGGAGAAATTAGCGAAGAAGCTATACAACAGCAAAGTGGCATTAGAAAAATGAAAAAATGATGTTAGACCAAATGTGGAGACCAAACTAAAGGAAAATGTGTTAAGAGGTGATACATTACAAGTAGATTTTTATGCATTGAACACTGTCAGAGTGAAAACATTAAATGGAGATGTGTGAGTAAATCTTAAATTGTGTGAATGCTCTTGCTTGGTGTGGCAAATGTCTGGACTACCATGTCCTCATGCATGTGTTGCCATAAAGCTTTCACATGGAAATATATATCGATATGTTGAGGAATGGTATCATTTAACTTGTTAAGAAAAAAATCTATGGTAGTAATATGATCCCAGTTGAGACTTTTGACATTCTAAAGCTTGATACAGCAGCATTGATAGATAACTTATCACAAACTTTCTCACAATTGCCTTTAACCAGCCGTCCTCTTGGGAGTCTAAGAACAAGGAAGATAGAGTCTTAATTTCAAGATAAGAAGATTTATCATTGTTCAAGATGTGGAGAGGCCGGACACAGTCGCAAGACATACAAGAATCCTAACCCATCATGAGAAGTAGTCACATTATACTTCTTTAGTGTATATAGGCAGCTATAATTATGTATATGAAAGCATTCTCAATTAATATTTTTTTAGGTAATTGGAAATGATAGATATTTTTTGTTTGTATATAAAGAAGCAACTGTTAGATATTTTAGATACAGTGGGTAACTTTTTGTATATATCAAACTTGAAATATGACGTCAAATTTCATGTGGGTACTTGTTTTAGTACCTAGGCTAGTACCAACATGAAATTCTTATCTGATGTAGTTGTCCTTATCAATATTAAAATATATGTACTTTTCATTGTGCATGCGTGGACATCGTCTTGTGCATAGTGGGTGTTCTGTTGTGCATTATGTGCATAGTCATTTTAGTCAAAACAAGACTACTGAATTATGCAAAACTCATGGACTTTTCATTATGCATGCATAGACATCGTCTTGTGCATAGTGGGTGTTCTGTCGTATATGGTTTGCGTAGCCATTTTATTCAAAACAAGGCTACTAAATTACTCAAAATTCATGAACCTTTCGTTGTGCATGCGTGGAGATCGTCTTATGTTAGTGGGTGTTCTATCATGCATGGTTTGCCTAACTTGTCATTTTCTCCAGGCTAGGCTAGTGGAATACTAGAAATGCATGGACTTTCTGTTGTGCATGCGTAGACGTCATCTTGTGCATAGTGGGTGTTGTCTTGTACATAATGAAAAGGTTGAGACTTGTATATTTCATTTCCTTTTTGTGCAAATACATACATAATTCCAATTACAAACAAAAACTATTTCTAAATTACAAAAAAAAACATCTTAAAATATGTACATAATCCAAGTAGGAGAACCTAATTCCATAATCCTATAATTTTTCTTCCCATTTACCTGTTCCTATAAGTGCAAGTGGACATTTACGGATGATATTGTTGGGATGCTCCACCAGCCAGCATAATATGTCATACCTCATGGCCGATAGTTCTTGTGTTGTGTATCTAGGCATGGTAAACAGAGGATGGTCAACATTGACGATATTATTCTAGAATTTGAGCCACATAATGAGATGAATTCCACAATCATCACTGCACAACAAAGGCAATAGAGTGAGATATGAATGATTATTTTATTTCTGAAAAAGTTTTCAACATTATACCAACATAACTTACTTGGTCTCTTACTTGAAGACCCGTGGATAGAGTATATCATTGCTTTACTCCACCTCAGATAGTTTTGGCTTCAAACCCATCGAACACCCAATTCTATCAAGAGTATGTCTCAATATAGGCTTCAAACCATATGATGCCTATATTGAGACCATATCAAACCCATCGAACATCCAATTCTATCAAGAGTATCACCTTTACTAGTATTCCTTCTAACCAGAGCAAAATACCCCAAAACAGCACATACAGTAGCCACAACATTCCCTTCCTTCAACAAAATCCTAACTAATATCTGTATCTAAAATCCCAACCAAACTTCACTTCCTCTTTTATGTCATCATTTATCGTTCATCGTGAAGCAACATCACACATTAGTGCTACTTCACTTTCTTAGCCTTTGCTTAATGTTTTCTTACTATTGTGGAATGAAGAGATACATATAAGAATAGTCTTGCCAAATTCGACTTGCCAAGATAAGAAAACAAGGTTACACATCAATGTGATACTGAGAGAGAGAAGGGATATTCTAAACAAAATTTCTAATTCCTAAAATTCAAGTTCTCTCATTTTCTAAACCACCTCATGGATCTAATTAATAGGATTTAATGTTAAGAGGTTGAGGCAAACAATAGAAGAAATTTTCAAAGTCACAAACACCAGAGACTTAGTGTTCAGATGCAAAGTGATAGCGAGAGACTTGATTTGACCATGTGAGGATGTGAGCTTCAGATGGCAAGAACGAGACTCTAAGAGAAGCTTAGGGTCAAGTTGTAAGAGCGTTGGTGATGAATGACGCCGCTAAAGAATGGATCAAGCCAAGTGCGAGCAACAGTAACGAGAGCACGGCAGCACAGGAAATAACAAGCACCACTAGAGCAATGAGAAACAGTGAACAGACAAGGAAATGAAAAGCTTTCTCGAATGGTAGTGAAATGAGAAGCTTTGTGAGTTTCGTTTCTCTGGCAGAGCAAAGAGAAGAAAGGAAAATAGTGAACAGAGCTTTGTCAGTTTCTTTTCTCTAAGGGTTCGCGCAGATTTTCTGATTCAAATCAAACAAAGGGCAAAATAGTTTTTTTTCTAAAAAAATATTGCACATAGGGCCTCAAGGCCTGCAAAGTAATTTTAGATTCATTTAGGTCTTAAGTGAAATAAACTCTATTTTTAGGGCCCTTAATGCCATTCCCCTTTTTCTTTTATGATCTCTACCTCTTATTATTATTATTATTATTATTATTATTATTATTATTTATTTAAGGGAAATATGGTAACTTCACCTAGGCTGGGAAAAAACAACATAAATCACTTTGTGTTCTGAGGAGATTCGAACTCAGCACATTCATATGTGTATCTAAAGTCATTACCACTAAGCCACCAATGCTTTCTGATAAACTACTCCAATATATATATATATATATAAAATAATTTACCATCAATTTTAATTTGAGTTAAATATCCGGGTCATTACATAGAAGGTCACTCTGCTGGTCTCTCTTGTTTTCGATGATTCTGCATCCACTCTTTGCTAGTATAAGCATCCAGCTTCTTCCTCTTTGCCAATTTGTACACTACCACTGTTGTTCTTGAGTACTATGTCGTATTCCTATATATATATATATATATATATATATAACCCCAGACTCAGACCAACAATAACACACACATAACAATACTGAAAGCTACATAGTATAAACACTTATGAATTACTTACTTTAAGGATTAGCTTGAACCAAGTGTGGTAGTCAATATTCTTGAGGTTCAAAGCAGTGACTCTCTCTTGACCGAGAGGTCTTCTAGTGACGAACACTATCTTAATGCCTAAATTCAGTAACATCTCATATATCTTAATCATCTCAGGTAGTAATAATGCAACACAGGTATGCGATCCACAAAGAGAGAGGGAATGAAAAGAAGAGAGAGGAGAGAGAGAAATATTATTTATATTTTAAAAATATTAAAAATGAATTTTGGGATCCACTATTAAATATTTTATAATAAAACTATTAAAAATTTAAATGTGGAACCCTCTTAACAGATTTTTAAAGTTGAAAAATAAAATTAATTTTGAGTTAAGTTAGGGTTCCTAATGACTTTTTGAATATAATGGAGGGGACAAAATTGACTTTTAAGCCTTTTAAATTTTGTATCCATTAAATAATTTTTTTAAAAAAATAAAAGTAAAAGGCTTTAAATCTTTACCATTTAAATTAAATCTGAACGGTTTAAAAGTAATAAACTCTTAGTACTCGTCAGCGTCATGAGCATTCAAACCGGTTTGAGATTCTCTATTTGACAAAGTTGCACTTAACTTGTTAGATTAGTAATTTTACTCATAAAATCTTTAACATTATTTGTTATTATTGAATCCATAATGATATTTGTTTTTAAATATAAGGGAACTTTGATGATTCTGCACTGGAAATTGAGTTTTTTTGGGGTCTGATTTGAAAATAGCTACTTAATGTGGTTCTTAGATGACATTCTCCCTTTATATTTTAAACCAGATATAATTTAATTTCCGAACAGTTGGACATAAAATATAATTTGTAACTGACTGACACAGGCAGTGCGATTTCTCTGAATGCTCAGGTACAGGGGTTGACTTAAGAGGATGAGCTTTGAGTAGCGATCGGCTTTTCCTTTGTGGAATAAACCACCTGGCGTGAATCTGAGAGAAAGACTTGCAGCAGAGCAATTCTTCACGAGCAGCCGCCATCTCCGTTAGACCCGGGTTTGCTCATAATTCTTCCTTCACTTCTTTCACCTATTCATGTAACCCTGTCAAACGTGTATTTTCAGAAACACGATTTTACTTTCTATACTCTTTTCTGTAGATTTAAATTTCTCCTTCTGCGCACACACCAACTTCATCATCGCTCTATTGTCACAAGTTCCCCATTTGTGATTTAACCCCCCCCCCCCCCCCAAAAAAAAAAAAATCTGTCGCTTTCAATATCTTTTTGTCGCATATTGCTCTATGACTTCCCCAACCCCAACCCAGATGCGTTCTGATTCATCCATTCTAAATATGAGGATGGGCTTCATTTGCCGCAATAAACCCATGGATCGAGGAAAGCTATTGAATAGTCTCAAATAGTATATCAAAATGTGATGGCATTTAATTAAAATACCCTTGTTTATTTTATTTCATTTTATGCTGCCTTAATGAGTCTCTCTTACTACAGCCGGTAATTGAGGACAAATCCGAACGGCCAAACCCATCTAAAAAAAAGTTAAGATCAAAGTTGGTTATATGAGTTTTTTCAAGAGGGGATGGTATTTTAACCCCAACCCCAGTAAAAAATCCCAATAAAAGAACAGCTTGGATTAATCGATCCATTTCAAAGCTTCAACCGTTAAACCCCAGGACATAAAGGAGGAAACTGGGAGGGAAGAGAGGGAGAGAGAACCTTTCCACCGAGATAGATCTTCTCGGTGTGAGGAGGAATGAAATCATTTGAGTCTGCCATGGTCGAGCGCTATCATGAATTGTCTAGAAGCCCAGGAACTGGAAAAGGCTCCTGAGACAGAGCTGTGTGTGTGGTGTGGTTGGTGTCTCGGCCAGAATCGGAAAATAGTGAAATGGATATGGAAGGTGAGTGGTGGGCGAATGGCTTGTGTAAGAAGCGATTCTTTATCTCACAATATAGTAATTAGGAGTTTAGGACTCCTCCTTCATTCCTTTCTTCTTCCTTCCTCTGTGTGTGTCTGTCTCTCCGTGGAGAAATTGATGTCCCCGCAATCTTTAACTGTGATTAGTTCGGAGAAGAACAGAGGGCTAGGGAGAGAAGATAAGATCTAGAGGGAGGAAGTACAATGAAATTCCAGTGGGCCTCACAAACAAAAAAAAATTAAGTCCATTTGGTAAATTTAACGGCTAGTGTTCCGCCATCTGTTTTAAATAATTGAGAATTTATCATACATTACTCAATAGAATAGACTACTCAATTTTCTTGGAAAAATAATTCACCGGTAAATTTTCACCTTTATCTTTGCTATTAACTTTTTTTATTTAATTATAATAACTTATGTTTGTTTTAGATAAGTGTATGCTCTTAAAATTTAACGTCATATAATCCCATATTAATTTAAGTGAAAAACCTAATAAAAAATAAGGAATCACCTAAATCTATATTTTAGTTATTATCAATCAATTTCCTTGTAGTTAATTTGCCTTGCGCGATTTAACATTTCCTCTGACAACATAACTTTAATTTACAAGGAGGACTTCCAGAAAGTAATGTGATGTTCAGTAAATAATTGAAAACAATATCGTCATTGTTCTAATCTCCAAACTTTTGGTATACTTTGCTGGTTGTACAATTCAACAAATAAACTAACTTCTTATGGCAGTGCAAGCAAATTTCATTGAACTGTTCTTTTATGTAGCTCAGTTATCAAGTGAAGCAACAAAATAAAAAATATATTCTAAGAGTATGTATACATGCTGAATTTTTTTGGACAACTTTACATTCTGAATTAGTTATGAGTATGGCAAGTGAATATGTTCATATTGTTGTTGCCATATCATTCTAATTCAAATTAAGCTCTATAGTAATTTATAGTTTTGCTAGATGATATAAGAGCATTATATGTAACCCCTCTATGCCAACAAAAGTAAAAGAATGCTTGACAACCTAAGGCTTATTACTTTATTTACCACCCTTATTCTTTATCTAACGTTATTTTCTGGATGTTGTAACTTCGGCTTTTGAAGTTTCTCAATGGCTGAAGGACTCATAGGGCCAGCCTTAGGACCAGTGGTGAAGCTCGGGGTTGAAGAGCCATATAAAAGCATAAGTGGCAGAGTTGCACTTTCCAAAAATCTGGAAGACATATATGATCTGTTAAACCAATATTTACAAAGACTGCTTGCAATAAAAGAGGATAAAGAGATCCAAGTTCAATGGCACAAACAGCAAGATACCACCGTGGTTTATCGCTCATGGAGGAAGAGGGTATCAAACATTGTTGCAGAAGTAGATAATATGAGAGCTGAATATGAAAGAAAGCGACTTCCCAAATGGCGTTTCATTCGGCGTTCCGGCCTGTGTGAGAAGATAGCAAAGAGGCACAACCAAGTTAAAGAGCTTTTAGAAGAAGGGCTTTCAATGAATATCCTTGTTGATTATAAGCAACCAGAAGCTGTCTTGAAAGTGTTAGATGCTCCCCAGATAACAAGCTATCCTACCCTTCAAAGAGCTCTGGAAGAAATTTTGGACTGCCTTGGAAACAAGAAAATGAAAGGCATTGGAATTTACGGAATGATGGGAGTGGGTAAAACCACAATAATGCAGAACCTAAACAACAGTGAAGAGGTTTCTCAAATGTTTGATATGGTCATTTTTATCACACTTTCAGGTGATCAGAATGATATAAAACATAACAAACTCCAACAATTAATTGCAAGTCGGTTGAAGATAGGCATTGAAGCCATTAATGAATCCATTGATGAAGTTGCTAGAAGAATACATGAAGAGTTATGTGAACTGAAATTTTTGTTGATCCTAGACGGGGTTGTAGACTTCATCAATTTGCAACAGCTCGGAATTCCAAATGATGAAAATGGAAGTAAGATAGTCATGGCTTCACAGTTTCTTCATGTTTGTAATGCAAACAACATGGATAGGTTGATTGAAGTGGAACGATTACAACATGATGAAGCATGGAACATGTTTCGAGATGTTGCTGGTCCTGTAATTGAACGTCCCGGCATCATACGTACTGCTCGGCGTGTGTGTAATAGGTGCTCTCGTCTTCCACTTCTCATACATAAGATCGCAAGATCTTTTAAATTGAAAAATGATGCTCCAAGTTGGAGGGCTGCATTGGAAGATCTTGATGAACAATGGAGAGAGCATCAAAATGAAGGCTTGGAAGAGCTGTACTCATTTCTTGAGTTTTGTTATGGTCAATTAAAAGATAAACAACAAAAATGCTTTCTATATACTTCATTATACCCTGCAGATAGTAAGGTTTACACTGATTATTTGGTGGAGTGTTGGACAGCTCAAGGTTTTCTTGGTGATGTTAATGAAATTAGAAGGTACCAAAAAGCACGTGACAGTGGTCATATGGTGATAGGAGATCTTATCAATTTATCTTTATTGGAGAAAGGAGAACGAATGTTGTATGTCACCATGAATGGTTGTATGAGACAACTTGCTTCACATATATTATCCAGGCATCCCCAGTATAATTCCTATGTCTACAATAATGAAGAATCTGAGGATCCACCTTCATTGCATAACTGGGGGAATGCTAAATGGGTATCGATGGTAGACACCAAATTGTATATTTTACCCCCAAGTAAAGATAGCAATATGCTTGAGACACTGTTGCTGCAAAAGAATTCAAAGTTATCTGCAATTCCAGTGGCTTTTTTTGAAAATATGAGCAATCTTCTTGTACTGGATTTGCAAGGTACTGCCATTACAAAGCTTCCATCATCACTGTCGAACTTAAACAGACTCAGGGGGTTTTATTTAAATTCTTGCAAGCACTTGAGTGATTTGCCACCTGAAATAGCATTCCTTCAATTTCTTGAGGTCCTTGACATTCGAGGCAGCCGAGTGAATTTTATATCTTCTTATATTGGGAGTTTGATCAATTTGAGATGTTTACGAATTCCATTTATTAAAAATGGTGAACAAATTGATCACCGAGAATTTAAAGGTGAAAATTATCATAAGATTTCCAAGCTTCAAAATATAGAAGAATTGATTATTGAAGTGATATCATATGACCAGTGGTGCAACCAAGCCCAGCATGTCATGGAGCAGGTGTCTTTACTAAAAAAGCTAACTACTCTCGGTTGTAGTTTTCCCTCCTCAAAGATTCTTACAAGTTTTATGGCAAGTTGGGGACATTTGAGAGAGCACAAGCAACTAATTTCATTCCAATTTTTCATTGGATGCCAAAATTCACAATATCCACAAATTCTTCAATATTTTGAGCATGGACTTCCCAAGTATATGAAGTACTGCAATGGCGGTAAAGACGATGAGGCAATGGAAGAGTTGATTAGTGAAACAGATGCATTTGAATTGATCTGCCACAAAGATATCACAAGCTTGTCAGACTTGGGAATAAAAAACCTGAACTACATTCGTGGCTTTTTGATTGAAGAATGCAACAGTCTTTCAACTATTGTAGAAGGTGAGACAAATGACATAAGAAATGGAACCATCTTCCCAAACTTGGAGCAACTACACATGAGAAATCTGCCCAATTTGGAGTATGTTCTTAAGGGCCCCTTGCCTCCTGAAATCTTCTGCAAACTACATACCCTGAAATTGGAGAACTGCTCACAGTTAGAAAGCATTTTTGATAAGGGAGAAATTATGAGAATGAATGGCATGGGGAATGTGAGTATCTTGCCAAATCTGGAGAAGTTATTTTTGAAAAATATACCAAAGCTGAAATGTGTTTTCAAAGGTCCTTTGCATCTCAGAACCTTTTCCAAATTACAGATTTTAGCTTTGGAAAATTGCTCATCATTAGACAGCCTTTTCAGCAATGGAGTGATTCAAAATTTTGCAGAACTTCGAAAACTGGAAATTCGAAGCTGTTCAAAAATTGAAGAACTTATTTTGACCTCTGAGGACGTTGAAAAGAGTGAAGACGTGCTTCCATCATTGAAGAGTATAGAGCTAGTTGAGTTGCCAAATCTGCAGTTCATATGCAAAAAGCAAATGTCAACGTGGCCATCTTTGGAGACCTTGAAGGTACAAGAATGTCACAATTTGAAATCTCTACCTTTTAACAAGAGCAAGGCAGCTAGACTAAGATCGATCAAAGGAAATCAACACTGGTGGAATGAATTGGGAAAGGCAAACAAGGAAGTCCACCAACAATTTGTGGACATCTTTGTAGCTGTTGATAGCTGATTCTATTTAGTTTATGTACTTTCTGCTCGTGGTGCCAAATGTTTCATGTTAAAACTCTGTTGCTTTTGGTTTTTGCTGGTCTCATTTTTTGTGCGCATGTACTTCGCTATTATGTTCTGATAACATAAATGATTGGATTGTAGTATCTTATAAATGAGTTTGCTTTGTCCATGGCATGCATGTGAGACAGGAACGGAAGTGGAAGACAAAGATGACGTGGGGAAGCTGCTTATGTGTAGCAGCGTCAGATGAAATTCTTGGTCACATTTTCTGCACACCTAATTTTTTTGGCCACGGTTCGTTTTTTAAAGTTTATGCTCTGTTCTTCTTTTCTGGTAATTATTCATTTATTTTTACTGCATAGTTATTCAACTCTTTCATCCGATTAAAAGCTTTAACTTCTTTTTTTTCTTCTTAGTCTATATGATGTTTGATCATAAAAACTAAGATGACAAAGCATAATTACTTGTCATTTATATCATGTTTAAAAAAGTCTCCATGAAACATCATTAAACTGTTTATCACATTAAGCAGTGCTTCAAAAAATAAGATGACACTCACTTGTGGCTTTAAATAATGTCGCTCGTGGATGTATAGAATGTTAATTATGAATGGATAAAAACAGTCTTAATTGTAAATCAATGATTTAAGAATCCTATGATATTTTTGAATATTCATTCACAATTAACATTTTACAAATTCATGAGTAACTTTTCACAAATTCAAAAGTAATTATCCTTAAATTTACAAATGACAATGTTTGTAATAATAAAATTATCTATCCATTCTTAATTGACTTTCTATATATTTACAAGTAAGCTTTTTTAAACTCATAACTAACTTTCCTTAAATTAATGAGTGAATTATTGGTTATTTTAATAATTAAAAATATTTTAATTGTAAATAAAGACTATAATATTTCTCATGCATTTCAATATTTTAAGATCTTCAATAATTATTAATATTTTTACAAGGTTCATAATTATTATTTTCTCTATTTTTATAAAGATCTCTTTACTAAACTTCCCAAATTCCATCATTAGTCATTACTCTTCTATTTCATATTTTAAATTAAATTTCATATTTTTTTTAAGAAAAAACATATCCATATTAAACAGATAATACAGTGACCAACCTAGAAAATTAAGTTATTGGGGGCAAAACTATACCTACCATTATTTTTTTTTTGAAAAATATAAATATTTATAATTACAAATTTCTTAAAATTAAATAGTTTTATGATATTACAAAATTAAAGAACATGTCATATCATTATTATTTCTTAGATACTATAATTTTAGTTATGAAACTTTAATTTATTATATAAGTTTTACAATATTTATTTTCATGATGAATGTTTAAAAATATACCGTAAATATATATGATTGATTGAACAAAAAAATATATATGTTTTAGATTTTAAATTAAAATGTTAAATAGGAACAAAAGAAATTTTTCATAGGGACACAACGGAAATTTTCGTGAGAACAGAGGGGAAATTTTTTTTTTTTTTTTTTTTTGGAAGAGGGTTGGCAAGCGTAATTATTAGGAATCTTGTGCAAAGTTTTCTCTTTCATAGCGGGAGATCAACGGAGGCCTATCATTGAAATAATATGATATGGTGTAAATTTTATAACTGTGAAAAGAATAAGACATACTACTTAACATTATATATTTAATATATTTTTATTTAATTAAATTAAGATAAATGTATTTCAACATATTAATAATACTGATAAGAAAAGTTTGTTATAAAAAAATAATCTATAAAAAATTTATATGTTTTGATTTAATTAAAAATAAAAATTTTAAATATATAGAATTAAGTATATAAATTTTTCTCTTGTAAAGAAGACATGTATCCTCAAGACTTTATGCTAGTTGATTTTGCTTCAAATTTTGATAGTAAACTAAATTTTGTAGGTTTTAAAGTAAAGTAGAAAAAAATTACAAATGTAAAAATGTGAAATTTCTGGATTTTCTTTTTTTGTTGGTCCATCAATATTTGCGTTTAAAAGAATTAACAGAAATAACTTAAGCACACACCGAGAATTAACAGAAAGAACAATAGTTCACACCAGTCACCACACATACAAAGGATCAAGCCCTAACCTTGCACTTAAGAAACACTTAGACTTGGTTTTGGTGAAAAGAAAAGTGAGAAAAGAATATGAAAGAGGAAAAATTAGGAGGAAAGATATTCAAAAAATAGTTTTTTTATACTATTTTAAAAAAAAATTCCTCTTAGTTTTCCTTCCTATTTTTCTCATCTAAATGAAGGGTTAAACTATGATTTTTATAATATTTCATATTAATTTGTGTTGATTTGTTGATTATATAAATAAAAAATTACTTAAATTGTCAGATATACAAATACTCTTCATACCCATAGTCTAATATTTTAAAAATTTTGGTCTGGAAGGAGTTACAAATATTTCGAAACAAAATCATATGTCTAAAGTAAAGTCACTTGAGGCTAGCTTAGAGGAAGTTGGGGTATGGTAAAACTCTAGTTGCAAGTTCTCTTAATGTAATAATAATAATAATAAAACTATAACTTCAAAGTTAAAGAATATTTGAATCCACTGGAATTGGAATTAGTTTGATTCTACTCACTTTTACACTTTCTATCTGCAATTTGTCTCTTTGTGCATGATTTATTTTAGGGAAAAAAAAACTTCCATGCGGTATTTATATCTTTGCTATGAGTTTTCTTATTGAATTACAAGTGTATATTCGTTTTAATTAAGTGTACATTTACAATTTAACGTCATATTTTTTTTTTCCAATATAAAAATATAAGGAAGCATCTAAGTCTATCTTTTATTTATTATCAATTAATTATTTGTCCTTGAAATTAGCTTGCCTTGTGTGTTTAGAACTGGTCGCTAAATTTTAGTTTGTTTTACCTAATAGATTTAACATTTCCTCTAATAACATTTACCACTTCTAGAAGCTGATATAAAGTTCAGTAAATTAAAAGCACTGTCATTATTGTCCTAGAAGTATGCGAACATTGATATATTTTGTTTGTTGTGAATAAACTAACTTCTTATGTTTGGTAAAAAAAAACTAACTTCTTATGGAAGTTGAAGTAAAATTTCAAATTGTTTTCGACCAAAAAAAATTTCAAACTGTTCTTTACGTAGCTCAGTTATTAAATGAAGTAACAAAATAAAAGATACGTTATTAAGAGCATAAATATGGTGATTCTTTTGGCCAATTGTATATATGATGAATCAGTGATAAGTATGTTTAATGAATATATTCAAATTGGTCGTTGCCATTTTTTTACATTCTAATTAATTAAGCTTTATGGGAATTTATAGTCTTGCTAGGTGTTAGAAGAGCTTCGTATGCAATTACTAAATGCCAGTAACAGTAAAAAAACACACACACACAAATATAGTAAGGATTGTTACTTTATTAACTAACCTTCAATCTTTTTCTAACATCATTTTCTGAATTTTATTACTTAGGCTTTCTAACCTCCTCAATGGCTGAAGGATTAATTGTCTCCACTTTAGGACCCGTGGCAAAACTTGGGGTTGAAGAGCCATATAAAAACATCAATGGCAGAGTTGCACTTTCCAGAAATCTGGAAGACATATATGATATGCTAAACCAAGATTTGCAGAGGCTGCTTGCAATAAAAGAAGATAAAGGGATCCACCAAAGACACAATCATCACGATACTACCATGGTTTATCGCTCGTGGAAGCAGAGGGTATCAACCATTGTTGCAGAAGTAGATAATCTGAGAGCTGAATATGAAAGAAAGCGAGTTCCCAAATGGCGTTTCATTCGGCGTTCAAGTCTGGGTGAGAAGATTGCAAAGAGGCACAACCGAGTTAAAGACCTTTTAAAGGCAGGGCCTTCAATGAATATCCTCCTTGATTATAAGCAACCAGAAGTTGTCTTGAAAGTGTCGGATGCTCCCCCGATAACAAGATATCCTACCTTTCAAAATGTTACGTTTTAGAAGAAATTTTGGACTGCCTCATAATCAAGACAATGAAAGGGATTGGAGTTTATGGAATGATGGAAGTGGGTGATGAGACTTAGTCGTTTACCCCTCAAAATAATTTTACAACTAACTTAAATCTAGTATTTAGGCTAACCTTAGGTTTTTCATAAGGAGGTGATTTAGACTTCCTAGGTAAGTAAACTAAGTGAATAAATTAACCAAACGATTCAAGTTATTAACTAATTATCTAATGAATTAAACTTTCAACTTATCCTAAAATGTGTGCGATGAACTTCCCTTATCAAGTAGGAATCCTAAGATATTACTAATGAAAGAATCCTAGCATGCAAATGAATGTAGCAGTATAATATCCTCACTCCACTAATCACACTTAACAAATAAAGCTCATGGTAATCGAGGGATTATCTTCGAAGGGTGATTACCAAGTTTTAAATTTAAAAGTAAAGAATCCCAAGTTTTTCTAAATAGAAACAAGTTAACATCAATAAAAATCTTTCACATCAAAGTAAAGATAAGTTTCAGAAGCATAGGATACCTCAGAGGAGTGAAAAAAGACGAAAATGGTGAAGAATAAATTATGTGCTGAAAAACAGCAGTGCGCCGCGGCGTGTTGCTCTCTGTGCCACGCGCCGTGACGTGTTGCACAAATTTTCACTGGTTCTGACCCCCCTGAAATCTCCGTCCAATATCCCAATGATGTGATCTAGGTGTCTGCGAAAAGCTCTTTTCTTGTACTAACTAATGACATGGGTTTCACTTCCAAAACACATCACATTAGGAAGTTGGATACACAAACACAATTTAACCACTTTTATACAAAATAGGTGTCCAAAACCCTCAACAAATGCCAAAAGTTTTTTCCTAACACCTAGACCATGTCCAATGGACCTAGGACTACCAGTACAATACATCACAAGCATCGAAATATCATTATAATAAAAATTCACTCCTCAACCCCAATTTACCAAAAACAAAGGGGGAGGTAAAATAGCATTGTATTAAATTCAAACCATTCAAAACATGCTCAAACTTTACTTCTACACTTATACTAGTATTTTGGCCCTATAAACATATATATGATAAAAATACACAAAGGCTAAGGCCCAAAATACAATTCTAACATTTTCAACAACCAAAATAGTGCAAATAAGGTAATATGCATCCTAGAATTGGCAAACATATGCTATTACACAATTAGAACTAACTTGGAGGCATACAAGAAGGAATGTACTAATTCCCCGCCTCTTTGGTCTTCTCCCTCTCAACACTAGAGCTAGAGCCTGAAAAGTATTAAGTAAGAAGGGTGAGTCTAGCCACTCAGTAACTAAGGTTAAACCTACTCTATACAGTTATATATCAATTATAAAACAATTTACATGCACAACAAGATCAAGTTTATAAAACATTTCCCCATATATCACATTTTATCACTCTATAGCTTCTATACTCATATAACTAGGTGCATTGTCACCATATTCTCAGATATGTGACAAGACGTATACTCTTGCAACTTGCCACCACATATCACGTGTGACACGTCATGTATTTACTTAGGCAATGATCAACCTACCTTATATCCTCCTTATTTTCTCAGACCGAAACCATGGGCTATAATACTGATTAGGGCTCTGTCCGTGTGACTGGACTATCCAAACTCACCAATTGTGAGGTGTGACCTGGCCAAAGATCATAGAACTCACTCTCGAACCACGGCTTCCTTCATTCTCGAATCCCTGGGGTGTCTAATACCCTAAGCTATTCTCCTCATTGAACCGGTGGAGATAGCTAGGTTCTAGTCCCTCGACAAACTATGGGACAATCCCTCGACAAACAGTGGGACAAGGCTATAGCCCCCGTGCACCGGAGGGCAGCCTAATTACCATATGGATTTTCTCTACTCCCAAATCCCTAGGCGAACTCCCGCCACTGATCATGCCATAAACCGTACTCACTTGTTCTCTTTCATATACTTACTAATACAACAATCACGTTGGGCTCACGACCTTACGCTACTCAAGTGTGTATTCTCATCTTTTTCTCAAAATTCCATTTTTTATTAACAAACAACTACCTCTATACCTCATCACATACATCTTTCAACAACAACAACAATATTCATCGTTAAAACTCTCTTGACTTTACATTTTGTACTTTTAAGTCAAAAATAGCATTTCCATGCACCCAATGAAATATATATATATATATATATAGTTTTTCATAAAATTCAATCTCATACATGTAACATTCACCATTCACACTCAATAATCAATTAACATATAACTACCCAAAGTAAAGTTCCCCCCCCCCGATTACCTCAAACCTTTGAGAGGTTAAAGGTTTACCCCTCAATTAACTAGCTTCCAAGCTTGAATTTCCACTCCAATAGGTGACCAAGAGCTAAAGCTACAATCAACCAATTTGAATTCCATCAACATAATAAACTCAACCATTTGAAACCCTCAATCTCCACTTCTAAATTGCCCAACCTTCACTTTACAAGAGGTGGAGCCTAACCATTGGATTTAATAATTACCTTTAGCCCCCAATAGCATTAATAAGCCGTTAAATCCCCATTAATGGCATCATAAACTTCCAACCACCCATAATAAATGGGATTTTCAGGTATTTATGGTGCCCAACAACCCAAAACATCAAAACTCATCATACCTAGGTTTAAATACTCTAATCTACCTCCATTAACTCCATTTAAGTTAACAAATTCAGACCCATAACCTATATGAACCAAAATCCCACTTCCACTATCAAACCCTAACCATAAACTCATAAATGTGGAAGAAAAGAGGAGATTAATGGGTATGATACTTACCTTAGGTGTTTATAGCCTTCAAAATACTCATAAAGTGATCCCCAAGCAAACCCTAGCAGAGCTGTGGCACACCTCTCCTTTCTCTCCTTTCTTTTTCTGTCTCAATTCGCGTCTGATAAAGTACAGAAAATGGCATGCACCGCGACGGACGCACAACGCGCTATGGCTCATGGCACAAAGAGGTCCTCTCTCGCTTAAAGATGGCTGTGCGCCGTAGCGGACGATCTACACGCCGCGACGTGTGGCACAGCAACTTCAACTCTTCTTTTTCTTCTCCTTTTGATGCTCGAGTGGCGCGCCTCGATACCGGACCCACAATAGGGTTGAAATACCATCAAATATAGTTGTTAGACCTCTCTGGCCACACACCACTTTAATTTACTTAATTACCCTAATTAAATTTAATTAATCAAGGAATTAGAACTCGGGATATTACAGGCAGCTCACTCAAACTTCTCTCCCTTGGCTAAAAATGATGATCACTCAAAATAACTATCTTAAGCAACCTAGCTTTACTAATTTAATTCCCTATAAGACCTAGCTACAGGCCTTTAGGTTGTCTCATTAGCTTAGCTTAAAAATTAATCAAGTATTGAGTTGAATTTATTCCCTTACACAGTTTCAAGTAGCTAGAGCACATAACTGTGTAACTCAAGCATTTGATCAAACACTAACTAAACACAATTATGTAGAATCAATGCAAGATCATCACCAATCGAAAATCACATTCTGATGTAATAAACTCAAGGTGGCCAAAATTCCAATGACAAAAGGAGAAGAAATCAATTCAACAATCTTGTTTCAATATAATCATTCACAAACAACTATGATACTAAAGTTAAAATAAACTACAAATCAACAATAATAATAGTCTACAAATTAAAATAAAACAAGATGAGGATTAGGATGAGTTTAGCCAAAGATAATCTTCAATGCTCCTCTTCCGTCAACTTCTTACTAGGATTCCATTGAGAATTTAGCTAGAAAGCATCATCATCATCTTGCTCTCCCAAGAGCGTGATATAGCCAAGTTGAGTCCCATGAAAATGGTGGATTCAAGCTTCAAATTTTCTTGCAAGTGAGAGGGACATGTTCAACCAAGTGAGGGGAAGAGAATGGTTGAGGAATTTTGTGGATTTGATGGCAAATAGTGAAGAGTTTAAGGCTGGATGTGTGGAAGGAGAAGAGAGAAAATGAAGAATACTCAAGAATAAGAGAGAGAAAATGGAAGAGATAAATGAAATGTAATTGTGAGTGAATCTCAAAAAATGAATGAATGATGTGTGTGAATGGCTTGCTTCAGCTAATCCAAATATTAAAACTAAAAGAAAACAAACTTAAAATGCAAATGGAACCAAGTCACATGGAACAGGCTTGCTAGGTGGCATTCTTCTATTAGCTTGTGGATAATTTTAATATTTTTCAAGTTAGTCCTATACTTCATCCACATTTTAAGTAGATTTATTTCACCCCAATGGCAGTCCATGCACTTCCAAAATGATCATATTTGGCTCCTTGGTTGCATTGACACATTTGCTTAATTGATGCACAAGTCATATGTCACCTTTATTACAAAATACAGATAATTCAATTTAATAATATGTGACATCATAAAATCTAATTAAATTGTTGAATTAAATTCATATTTAGAAAGGAGAATTTATTAAAATATTCAAGTCTTTAGGTGCATAAAATCATACAAAAATTCTCACACAAATGCAAACCAAAACTAAGTCAAATGAGCACACTTAAGAAAGTCAATGAAAACTGTTCACTTTTATTTAATTACTTCTAAAATAAAATAAATTATAAAACAACAACTTAACCACTCTTCTTTTACACTTAAAATACATTTTTTATAATTTTTTTTACATTTTTTCAAAATTTTAATTTTTGGACTTAAATACCCCTAGTGCACAAAATCTAGAATACTTGACAAAATTTTAATTCTAATGCAATGTGTGTGCGTTTTGAGCTAATACAACATTATAAATGGCTCTAATTGACCTAGAAAAATGTGTAATAAATGTATTCACTGGGTAAAACCATCATAATGCAGAATCTAAACAACAATGAAAAGGCTTCTCAACTATTTAATATTGTTATTTTTATCATACTTTCAGCTGATCAGAATGATAAGAAAAATAAGAAACTTCAACAATTAATTGCAAATCGGTTGAAGTAGGTATCGAAGTTGCCAACAGATCCTTTGATGAAGT